CTTGTTGTCAAATAATTCAAACAAAATAATTGACTTATTGTCCAGTTGGCATGTTTGCGACCCCATTGTAGTCGTTTCACCTTGTTTGCTTTCCTTAGCAATGTTTTTTTGGCAGCTACACGCCGTCTAAGTCCAGCTTTCATCAAACGGTTTCTTATTGTCCGGACACAAACAAGTTTTTCAGCAGTTTCATTGTATTCTCTCATTATTTGTGAAGCTGTTAATTTTCTGTTTGACATAGATAATAACATGGTGAACATGGTGCACGTCGTACGTCGTAATACGACGTGCACCATGTTCGTCTATCTTTCTAGGCTCTCCAGGTCGTGGTAAGTCACAATATTGACCAGTTTCCTTGAAACGCTTGATTGTATTGTGAACTTCAGTCTTTGATATTTTCATTTTTTCTGCAATTTTTCTTTCTGAATTACATTCTTCACCAAATAAAACAATGCAAACTCTCTGTTCAAAGCTTAACTCTCGAACTGGGGCTATTTTAGTTCGACAAAATAGAAACATAAAAAATAAACAGTTCAAAAATATTTGTATATTCATTTGCAAGTCATTATATACTATATTGGATCTACATAAAGTATCTAGAAGAAACTACCAATGAGAAAAATTATATTATTATTATCAATTACAAGTCATTAATCAAAATTAAGTAACAGTTAAAAATAATATATGTATTGCCTTTTCTGCTGAAAGAACTCAGCTTTACACTTTTGTATACTTTTGTTCATAAGCAAATTTTTGGGTGCAAAAATGCCCATATCTTATTCTATCCACTTATTTATTGTGCTCTATTTATTTTTGATCCAAAAATAAAGAAGTGCAAATATATATTATATATATATATATATATATATATATATATATATATATATATATATATATATATATATATATATATATATATATATATATATATATATATATATATATATATATATATATATATATATATATATACATATATATATATATATATATATATATATATATATATATATATATATATATATATATATATATATATATATATATATATATATATATCTGATATATTTCAAAAAATATATATATATCAGATATATTTATTTTTGAAATGCAAATATTGTTTTTAACCGCTGGTCTCAAACTAATTGGCGGTAGTTTTTTACTTTTATGAATATTTATTTGAAAGAAAATAGAATTTTTTATATTTAAGAAGAGTTTTACAATTATTGAAGAGTTTTACAATTATAAAAACATTTAGTGACGTCCAAGAAAGATGATAATTTTCTGCGTTATGTGCAATTTAGAACAAATTTATCGTGAAAAACAAAGTTTCGCAACCCAGCGGGTGTTTTTTTTACGTTTTAAGTTACGTTCTAGATGTATTTTAAACGTCTTTTAAACGTTTTCTAAACGTTCTTCAGTAAAGAACGTTTAAAAGACGTTTAAAAAACATTTAAAAGAAATTTAGAACGTAACTTTTAAAAACAAATGCCCGTAGGGAAGTTCCTAGATAGATCCTGGAATAAACAACAACAACAGCAAGATATTATTTTCCTTTTCACAATTTACATATAATCATATAACAACAACAATAATAATAGTAATAATAATATTATCTATAATAATACAAACAATATTAATATAATAAAATATAACTAATAAGAATAAATATAAATAATAATATGTAAAGGAAGGTGTCACTCAAACAGAAGCCTGATCAAAGGAGTTACACCAATTAATTATAACAATAATAATTAAAAAATAATAATATTATCTATAATAATACAAACAATATAATTATGATAAAATATAACTAATAAGAATAAATATAAATATAAATAATTATTTGAAAAGGAAGGTGTCACTAAAACAGAAGCCTGATCAAAGGAGTGACACCAATTAACTATAACAATAATAATTAAAAATAATAATATTATCTATAATAATACAAATAATATGATGACATGAGTGTCACTTATGATCAAAATGTGTGACACCAATTAATTATAACAATTGGTATAATAATAAAATAATAATAAAAATAACAAATATGAACCGAAAATCGCTAAGAAAATAAATAAAATAAAAATAACAAGGATAAAGCTAAAATAAGTTAAATAGTATAACAAAAAATATGAAAACACTCAATAACAACAGAAAACAAAAATAAAAATAATTAGCAAAACAGAACAAATAAAAAACAAACCTTACGAAAACAAAAAGACAAAACACCAAAAACTACAAGATGAAACACAAAAACTGCAAGACGAAAAGGCAAACACAAATACTTCTACAAAATAAAATTAAGTTAAAAAAAAAGGACAAACTTTAGTTATTTTTTGCGAAATAAAATTAAATAAAGGTGTAGAAAATTTGGTAAAATAGAAAAACAGAAAACAACAATAAAAATAATTAGCACAAATAATAAAATACTTTACGTAAACGAAAAGAGAAACAAAATTAATAAAATAATAAAAATTAATAATATAACAAATATCACATTTGCCACAAAAAAAAAAGGTGAAGAAAAATTGATTACGATTTTTTACGTTTTAATTAGTTCTTTTAATTAATATTTCGAACATTTTTCGAACTTTTTTTTTTTAAATTGGTACTTAATTGTTAATTGTTTTGTTTTTGTTAGAATAAATCTGTTTGTTCTTTTTTTTTCTTTTATTCATTTTCTTGTTTTATTTTTTCTTCAATCCTTTAGTTCGTTTATACCCTTCAATTATTTTCTTTTTTTACATTATTTCTAACTAATCTTTTTTATTATTTAAAAATTTCCTTCACTTTTCCTTTACTCTTTTTTTCCTTTTCACCGTTAGTTAAATGCTTCCGCCATTTGCGATGTCATTGCATTCTATATATATATATATATATATATATATATATATATATATATATATATATATATATATATATATATATATATATATATATATATATATATATATATATATATATATATATATATATATATATATATATATACATATATATATCAATAATTTCCTAATAAAAAAAAAGTAGTTAAAAGTTTCAAATTAACTCGAATCAGATTAACGCCCAAACTTTTATTCCATTTTATTATTTCTAACACAATTTTTTAAAATCGGTATTTATTTGTTTTTATTTTTTTTTTACAATAAAAGCTCTTATTTTTGAAACTTTGGTGTAAAATAGTTTTCTTGAATTAAAACGTTTTAAAATTAAATTAAAACGTTAAATAACCTTTTTTTTTAATTTAAAAAGTAATTTTGCTTGTATTGTTGACATTTTTTCACTAAAATCTAAAACTGCAGATAAACTTCAGGTTTTATCACAATGCCTAATAAGGTTCTATCACTCACTGAAATTGTGTCAAAGTAGCTAGTTGTTTAGATATGAAATCAAAAGGTTCAGATATGGAATCAGCTAAAAAAGATTTAATGCTTGCAAAAATTTTGAAATTCTTTTTAAAATTTAAAAGGAGAAAATTCAAGTAATAATCTATATTTTTTATATTTCCAAAATTATTTTAACTCAGATCCTTTATGCTGTTGTCTTCTTGTGAACTTGAAAATGAGCCGCCGTGGCACTTTGGTTAGAGCGCTTGCTTTAGAGAAAAAAGAGATCCAGGGTTCAAAGCAAGCTCTGGACATTCGCACCACCGGTATAGAGAGAGGCGTGAACTTTTAGTTAAATGTTCTTTCCGCATGGTGACAAGACCTTTAGGTCTTTTTGGGGCACCTAAATTCAAATTAAAAAAAAATGTTTTTTTTTTTTTTTTTACAAATGGCGCAAGACTTAAATTGAATTAAAGAAAAAAAAAATTATATTTAATTGCATACTTAATAATTGAAAGATATCAGAAACAAAACTTTCTTGGAAACAAATTGACTAGACAGATTTCAAATCAATAAGTATTTGTAACTTTAGTTAAGAAGTTTTGTTGTCATTTTTATGTAAATCATTTCATCTGTTTCAAACAACAATATTAAACGGCGAAGAGTGGGATAGCTATAGTACGTTGGGACTGAACTTTCATTTTGCAGTTTTGTTATAGTTTTAAAAATAATTTTTGTTCAATGTATTTGTCTAAACAATTTTTAAAAGAATTTGCTGCATGACAACTTTATCTGTAGCAAATTCCAAGTAAAACAACTCTATTCTTAAAGAAGTGATACCGTTGAGCACAGTAAACGTTGGTCAGCTTGAGGAAAAATCTTTATAGAATTTTTGTGCTCGACTACTTTAATATCTAGGACAAAAATTTGTATTTTTGAACCATGTTTCAAAAATGTGTTATTTTTAAACACGTTTTTAAGTGTTTTTTTTTAACACTTCGATTTTGTTTAAACGAGGTGACTCTACGTACAAAATGTGGGCGCGCATAATTTTCATAAATTTTCATAATTTTCATAAATTTTACAGCGTTATGACTAAAAGATCTCCTTTTCTAAAAACATAAAACTTGAGTCTTAGTAAAAAAACATAAAACTAGAGTCTTAGTTTTATGCTTTTAGAAGAGAACAAGGGGCCGATCCTCTAGGAATATAAATTTGCATTTATATTTTAAAATTAGAATATAAATACAATTTTAAATCTCTGGTTTTGTCATATCTATAACTTTTAATTTCTAAAAATTATATAATTAACTTTTCAAAAAAACATTTTTCACAACTTTTTTTAAATATAATCGTTTTGTGGAATAACGTAAAATGCTTAAAAGACAACTTGATTAGTTGATCATGTAACGCAGATTGCTAAAAATGTTGGTGGATATTGTTTTCAATACCTTTCTATTTTCCTAGATATTCGTGATATTTATTGTTTATGTTAACAAACTTTTGGTCAAACCTTAAAAGGGCCATTCGCAAAAACAAATTTGTGTTAAAATAAATCCTATCAAACTAAAGTTTTTTTTGTAAACTTTGCCTGGTTTTTGCAAACATTCCCGCCCCTTCTTCCTGGTTTTTTATTTCGGACCGAAACGGAATGTTTTATAAATGTTTGTTGTTTTTAATCCCAAAACTACCAGGTAGACGAGGAGTTAGCACTTTTTTATATTTACCTAATGAGTCATAGTTTTATTTCGATAAGAACATGTTTTTGATAACTGAAGCTTATTTTATTATGTTTTAGAAATGTATTATAAAAAGTTGTTAAAAATTTCAAATTTCTAAGATTAAGACTTTTTGCAAAAATCACATTAAAATTTCTGCAAAAAGTCTTTTACTTAGAAACTCAACTTTTTATTTATTTATCTTTGTTTGAATTGATCTTAATATAATCTTGGGAATTCAAGTTTTAATTCATATATAACTTGAAAATAAGAATAATTATTTATTTAAATATTTTATATGCACATTTTATATTTTATATTGCATAAAACATTATATCAAAATTTAGAGTTTTGACAAAATAAAAAAATGATTTCTCATTCAATGAACAAAACTTTTGTGCATTGAATGAGAAATCAATATTTTTCAGTACTTTTTTAATTTGCAAACATTACAAATACATATTTTTAAAAATAGACATTTCTAATTATTTCAGCTCCTTTTTTCATTTTTTGCAAGCCCCTGAGGTAAAATGATTACTCATATCACACACATTACTTAAATTAGCTGTTAATTTTTAAAAATCTAATCTATTTTTTTTGTTTTACAGTTTTATTTAGTTTTAACTTAATAGTAATAAATTTTTTGTTTTGATAGGTAAAATTCAAGATACAGCAGTTTGATATGTATATTAAAGTTCTGGATATAGATATAACATTTGTTGGAGCACTTGCTTGGTTATGTATTGGATTATGGATTATTGTTTTTTTAGTTCATGCACTTGCATTGATATATGGGTAAGTTGTTTAGATTTTATTTTTTTTATTGTTTTGTTTTTATAAAAAGAATAAATAAAGAGTTGATTGTAAAAATAGCAGCAGCCTTGAATTTTTGAGGCATTAGTTAATTTTTAAAATTTCATATATAGTCGATGTTTATTTACTAATCAAAAAATAATTTTTTTTGTGCTGTTTCATTTAGTTTAAAAAATTGAAATAAAGTTTTTTGTTTTCCCCCTTGCAATTAGAAGTGAACGTATATGGATCACGTTTTTAATGTTGCCATTATGAGAGGATAAAAAAAGTAAACTGCAGTATTAGTTTTATTACCATTTGTAATAGGTTTTTATTAGGTTTTAGTACCAATATTAATATATTAATATAGTATTTATTATTAATGTGGTATAATCAAGATTTTTTTTAATTTTTTTAAAATCAATATCAGGTTAATTTACTATATTTACTAAAAAGAAACATTTACAGGGTTATGCAAAATTATAAAGTGCTTTATGCAAAATTATAAATTGCTTTATGCAAAATTATAAATTGCTTTATGCAAAATTATAAAGTGCTTTATGCAAAATTTCGAATCGTTTAATAAATCCAATTAAAGCATAAAAAAGTTCGAATATATGATTTATTTATATATAAGCTCATGTCATTTAACATTTAGACTTTAAAAAAATTATATTAATTTAAGCAACTACTTTATTCAAAAATCATGTTTTGTTTAGCTTTTTCCAACCATCGTTCCATTGATCTCCAAAATCCACTTAATTCTTCGTTAATTTCACGCATTCGATTAAAAATTATTTCCAATGCATCTCTAATATTAATTTCATTATTTAAAGCTTTTATTCCGCGATATCTTGCATTTATTATGCTAAAAAATTCCTCAATGGGATTTAATTGAGGAGACCATGCCGGTAAATATTCTCTATTTATTCTTAATTCATTTAAAACTTCTATAATACTTCTTGATCTGTGAAATGGAATATTATCCATTATCAGTATATGGTCTGGGTTTTGTCGGAAATAGTTACACAGGTTATTTCTTATAAATCTTTCAAAACTTTCAGCATTATAAGCTCCAGTTCTTAATTCATAAGCAACCACACCAGAAATATTTATTGCACACATCAAACTTCGATTTGTATTTCTGTTTCCGGAAACAATGGAATATGCCTTTTCATTTTTTTGGGAATACCCATATTGTCTTCTCAAATGCTGATTAAATCCTGATTCGTCTAAAAAGACCAATTTATCACTAGAAATACGCAAGATACGGCGGGCATATATGGCCCTTTTTTCAATATTTGCTGGGGAATTTCGTTCTTCGGGAACCAATGAAAGCCTTTTTCGCGTTATATTTATTTTCTGCAATTTCCTTGATACTGTTGATTGAGATATTACCATACCGGTTGCTGCATTAACTTCATTTACCATTTCATTTTGTGTCAGTTCATTATTTATTGGTATCGTATTAAATAAAGTATTTTCGATATCACTGAACAACAAATTTTTGTTTTTGATTGTTTGCTTGTGGCGTTCTCCCTTAGTAGCAAATTTGATGCCTTCGTGATGATTTCTTATGCAGTTTTTTACAGCACTTTGGCTAATGTTTAAAGTTTCGGCAATGTATTTGGTTGAATGATTATTTATCGAATTAGACATGTTTATAATTGTTTCATGAATTTCCTTAGTTATCGTTATTTGACTTTTTCTTGCCATTTAATGTTTTAAATTTTTATTTTTTAACATTAATTTAAAAAACTTGCATTAATTAGATAAAAACGTTACTGATTTGGTTTATATTTTTCAGCCAGTTAGTCATTTAATTTTTAATTACAATTAAACATTGTATTTTAATTCCTATGCATTCTTAGATGATTCTGAAAATGACCTGTACTATTATAATGGCATTTATTTATTGTTAATTAAAGCACTTTATAATTTTGCATAAAGTAATTTATAATTTTGCATAAAGCACTTTATAATTTTGCATAAAGCACTTTATAATTTTGCATAACCCTGTAACTACAAAACATTGCATCTTCCAAAAACAGATATGATCACAAATCTTATATAAAAGCACATAGATACTTGCTTAATTCCAGATAATGAGTTTAACAACAATGAATAAACCTTTCCAGCTGTAACTTACATTGATTTATTAAATTATTTATTATTTTCACCAAGATCTTATACAGCTGAGAACATGAAGACCTATAAAGTTAGGAAGCGATTAAATAAGAAATACTAAATTTTTAGATGTTTCATTCTAAGCATCTAAATGATACTTAAATTAATCCATAGATTTTTGTAGAATTTAATATCTGCATTATAAAATAACTGGATTTAGAGAGACATTAAACAACATTGGCAGTAGTAAATGAAATTTATTCAGACAAAAAAAGAAAAGGTAAAACAGGCCTTGTTAAGAACCATTATGCAACTTGCATTTTACGTACAAAATAGTGATTTGCATATACGTTCAGCAGTTTTACGTTCAGCAAAAACTTTTTTATCTTAGAATATTTAAATTATCTATTAATATTGTTTATGTGAAGTTTATTCAGAAAATAATGAGTTCTGCAACTGTGAATTTTTTTGTTGAAGAAACTGATTATTTTATATATATTTATATTTTTTAGTTAAAAGACTTTTAATTAAATATGATTTAAAAATTAATAATTTAAATTTACTTTTGAAGATAAACTGCGTGTAGTCTTGTTCCTAAAAGCTCATGTTTTGAAAATTAAAAAATATTAATAAACAGTTATTGTACAATTAAATATATTTAAATTCTATTGTACACTTAAATATATTTAAATAAAAACATGTTTCTTAAATATTTTTTGTATATATCATATGTACTAATTTCTGAAATTTGTGAAATTTTTTTAATTAAAAAATATAAAAATTTATTATGAGATGTTTAGAAATTTATTCTAAAATTTATTATGAGATTATTATGAAATTGAATATAAAAACCTAATAGATAATCTAGTTTGCAAGTAGTCAGTGGGATAACACAGAAGAATCATGAGTGTACAGGATAACCCAACAAAAAGAAAGTTCTACTAGATTAACTTGCAAGCAGATTTTCATATCTTTTTTTTTTTGTTTCAAATCAAATTTGATTTTATGGTTCTAATTTCATAGATTTCACAATGTTATTATCACTGCTGATAATAACATTATAATTATTTCACAATGTTATTATCACTGCTGATAATTTTTTAATGCTAATTATTTTTTAATGTTAATTTTTACACTATAAGATAGTTTTTAACAAAAATAAGGATTTTGATTAAAATGTTATGATAAAAATTATAAAAATATTAAAAATGCTAAAGAGGCCAAAGCTGCATTAAAAATGGACCATCAATGACTGTAAACGTGGATCGACATGTCGAATTTTTAAATCTTTGGTTCTAAGAAAAGATTGTTTGTCCAAAGAAAATTTGTTAAACATATAATAAAACAATTATCAACTATTTCACAGTTGATAATATACATTGTTGCTGATGTTGTGTTAAGGTGTGAGGCTATTTTAGAAATTAATGCAATTAATTAAAAGCCATTTATTTTTTTTTAGATGAAAATGATCGAAAGCTTAAATCCAAAACATGTTCTTCAAAACATTGTATAAGTTATTTGACTGAGTTAGAGAATGATTAAATACTGAATAAAATGTTTTGGCCTCCCAATCACCAGATCTTTCTTCTATCGGACTTTTATAGGATAAATTAAAAGTAATGTTAAAAACTAATGATGCATAAAACTGATTTCAACAAATTGAATAAAACATTAAATAGAATGCCAAGAATATGTAAAATTTTTGTTATGGGTGATTAAATAGGCAAGCAAATTATGAACTAATCTTATGAGACATTATATTAATTTTTAAGCAAACTTAATAATTTGTTATATAAATGCCTGAAATATTAATAAGTTAATATTTCAGGTAGATTTTATTTTCAGTTTTTCTCCAAATAATAAGCAAAACTTTGATATCTTATATTAAAAAGTACATCAATTTGAATATTTATTTTCAGTAGTGTTTAATACTTGATTAAGTGTTATAAAAGAATTTTTAATTAATTTTTTAAGTTTAAATTTAGTTATTTCATTTTTTTTTTTTTGTATGATATTATATTTTTTAAGTTTATTTTTAGAAAACTTTATTTATACAGTTGGAGAAAACTCAAAGATAAAGGTAACGTAAAGGATTTACCAGCTGTATCAATTATTAAGGTTCGTTTTTGTCTGTTGAGTATTTTAAAAGTTATTCAGTTTATTATTTATTATTTTGTTTTTTAGTCAGCCTTAGCTTTGGTGCTTTATAGGATAAAAATAATTTCTGATTATTTATTTAGTGATTTTCTTTTTCCAAATATATTCAGAATTCTGGATGCTTCAGTTTGTTTTAAGTCTTTTTATTTAGTTGCAACTAAATAAAAAAATTACATAAAAAGTTGAATAATAGACAAAATTTAAAGACCTTGCACAGAAACTTGCAAGCATGTCATTTCTTAAAAACCTGACATTAATGTATAATGCATTTAAAGAACACTTGCAAAAGCAATTCACATTATCTCTTGTTATATTAAAGAAAAAAATGTTCTTTAAAGAAAAAAAAAGAGAAGAAGGTTCTAATGGTATTTTCAAAAATGCCAATATATCAGAAAGCGAAATTCCAATTAATTAAGCCACACTCTATCTGAAGCTATTAATAAGTTTCAATTCATTTTAGGAATCTGTTAATCAGTAAGCACATCTTAACCCATCATAGTACTTATAGCCCTCAGAATTAGGGTCTAACTGCCAACCTAGAAGTGTTTCAGGTTGTCAAAAAATTGCCAACCTCATTTTTATGTTTTATGGTAAAACCTTTGTTGCAAATTTTTTTTGCCAACCTGATGCTGACCTTTAACAGATTAAGGTCTGCAAAATATTACTGACCTTGTTTTTGCTAATTCCGAGGGCTGAACTTAACATCTTAACAGCGCAATGCTTTGAACTATATTATAAAATACAAATTTCTCAAAAAATTTTGGAAATTATGCTGAAAAAATTATGCATGTTTCTTCTTGATGATTTCTCTTTATTTTCAATAAGATTAAAATGGTAGAATTTTCTTAACAACATTCTCAAAATTATGTGAAGGCCATGATAATAGGAATATTTGTTTAAATTTTTTATTCTTTTCATTATTAAACTATTGTGTATTTCTAAATTGTCAAAGTGAGTTTCTAACTCACTCACTGTTAACTCTGCTACAGTTAAACTACTACTACATTTAACAACACAGAAGTTTCCTGAGTTCAAGGATCATTTTAAAGAGATCCCCAAGTGCCAATACAAGTTCTCTTCATATTAAAGAGAATGTTGAAAAAAAACGTTTGGGCTAAATTTTTTTGATTAAAACTAAATAATGAATGCACACCATTAATTTTAAAATTAACGTTTTGTCGTAGCTCGCTGTTTTTTTTTGTTCTTCGAGTCTGTATAATGTTAGCCACAATTTGCAGACTTTATAATTTATTCCACGCGTGTTTAATTCATAACAGTTTCGCTATATGATGTCATCATTCAAATCTTTTCTTTCAAGATATCATATTATTTTTTTACCACTATCACCAAATCATGTTAATTGTATAACTTTTTACTAAATCTCAAAAAAAAAGTTTGATACAATTATAAAATAAATTTATAAAATTTATAAAAACAAAAATTTAATATATAGCAAATAATTGCAGTAAAATACTGGAAATGTATACAGTAAAGAACTGGTTTAATCTAAATATAAACTAGATACTAAAAGAATAATTTTACTAAAGCGTATAAATTAATTTAAAGTACAAACTGAGTAAAAAATGAGTGACTTGAATAAAACATACAGTATTGAACAAAACATTTGCAACCAACATCGAACAATGCTAAAAAGTGTTCCTAATTTTACATGTCTTAAAAATGAAACAAACTATACTACCACAGCAAACAGTTCAGTCATAGCATGCCATGACATGAACAATCAGCTGACAGGTGACAGCACACAGGCAGAATTTCGTTGACAAGTGCCATTTTGCAGCAGACAAAACAAATGCAACTTTTTTGGTTTGTTTCATTTTCTTAAGTTTGGTCTGTGTCAATGTCACGGAAGTTTTTTAATAATTAAAGGAAGTATCCAGAAGTTTCAAGAAGTTTCCAGAAGCATGCAGAAGCTTCCAGAAGTTTACGGAAGAAGCATCTGGAAGCATCCAGAAGTATCCAGAAACTTTCAGAAGCATCCAGATGCATCCAGAAGCTTCCAGAAGTATTGAAAAGAAGCATCTAGAATCTTTTAGAACAGGTTCACACAGGTTCATTTTACTATATAAGAGACATGTAAACCCACATGTAATTCAGTCAGTATATGGAAGTCAATCAGTCAGTATTAGAAAAGAAACTGCTAATTTCACTAAAGAACCAGAAGAAAAGACTCCTGTTTGCTACATCTCATATTGACTGGAATGTGCAGAAATGACAAACTGTCCTGCTCAGTGATGAATCGAAGTTCAACGTAATTGGGAGCAATGGCATTTGCCGTGTACATCGACCGGTGGGAAAATGTCTCGATTTACGTTTACTGCCAAAAGACCATGAAGCATGGTGGAGGCAATGTAATGGTCTGGGGGTGTTTTTCTGCTAACGGTCTAGGCCCAATACATCGAATCGATGGAATAATGGACCGTTTCATGTATTAAAATATCCTGAAAGATGTTATGTTACCTCATGCTGAATAAAATATGCCAATAAAATGAGTTTTTTAGCAAGACAACGATCTGAAACACACTGTAAAAGTATTCAAGCAGTGGTTTCAAGACAACCACCTATTGGCGATGGATTGGCCGCCTCAATCTCTGGATTTCAACCCTATCGAGAACCTGTGGGAGATTGTCAACCGCAGAATTAATCATAAAGGTGTTCGTAATAGGGATCAACTGTTTGAACAAATCCAAGTTTTTATTGATCACTTGATCGAATCTATGCCTCGAAGATGCAAGGTTGTGATCAACAACAAAGTATTTGCCACGAAACATTGATAGCGAAATACAGCTTGGTCAACATTTTGTGGAGTTGCACTTGTTTTGTCCAGAAGAAAATCAACTTTTTTTAATACTTTTAATTTATTAATTAATTTTCGTGTACAAATAATGAGCTTTGTGATGAATAAAACTTGAAGAACATTGTCTATAAACAGTTACATAGTTATTTCTCTAAATTTAAAAAATGCAACACTTTTATATAAAGAAACTAAATTAGCATTATTTGGTTGCACTTGTTTTATCCAATACTGTATAAACTGAACTAAGTAGAAAATAAATATTAAACAAATTATTTTACTAATAACTGTACAAATCAAACTCAAGCTAAAACAAATATTTGTACTAAACAAATACTTGTTCGCCACCATATCAGTCGAACAAAAATCTTTTTGTAGCGACCGCACATTTATTTTGACTAAAATTTGAATGGCGTAACATTGACATGATCAGTTACATGATCATATTTTCCAATACTTGGAGCCACTTAGATTGCCATTGTTGAAATATTTATATTCATCTATGATCTTACCATGTAGAAAGAAAAGAAATTAACTGAAACCATATTATTATGGGAACCATATTATTATGGCTATAGTGTTTCAAAATACTCAAAGCACTTTAATAATATCTACTCATGTATTCAATACTGAGGTAATATTGAACATGATTTTTTCTTGTTTTCATTTTTACACCAGGAATTACCTCATTTTAAAATATTTTATTCCTAATATAAGCATTTAATTTAATTTAAGTGCTTTGTTGTTCTAACCATGCTATGCAAGATATGGAAAGTTGTTGTTCTAACCATGCTATGCAAGATATGGAAAGTTGTTGTTCTAACCATGCTATGCAAGATATGGAAAGTTGTTGTTCTAACCATGCTATGCAAGATATGAAAAGTTGTTGTTCTAACCATGCTATGCAAGATATGGAAAGTTGTTGTTCTAACCATGCTATGCAAGATATGGAAAGTTGTTGTTCTAACCATGCTATGCAAGATATGGAAAGTGAATATCAACATTCTTACTGAGTTTAAGTTTTTGGTTGCTATAGCATCAATGAAAACAATGCAACATGTTGATTCACCCAATAAATACCACTTTTTACACATATAAATCATTTTAAACTTTATAAAAGTATAAAACATTTAAGTATGGCGAGTAATAAGCAGAATGTAAACTATGTATGGAATAAAATATAAAAAAAATAGGGCACTAATGATTTATTTTTATTCTTTGTTTGTTTCTAAAAACATAAGGCTGTTTCTAAAAACTTTAGGCTTTTTTTTTAAACATAATTTTAAGAATATCTTGCATGTCAACTTTGTTCGCATATCTCTTGAAATATATAGTACCTATGAAATATATTTTTTTAGTTATATATCTTATAAATCATTATATATTGCTCAGCCCTCTGATTTGAGTCAGCATTCAATAATTCCGACATAAATACTGATCTAAAAGTGCTTGAGGTCAACAAAATATTGTTGATCTTGTTTCTATGTTTTACGGTAAATCCTTTGTATCAAACTTTATTTGCTGACCTAATGCCAACCTCTAACCATTTAAAGTCTGAAATATATTCAGGGTATCCACTCTGCTGGAAAAATGAAAAAAAGGCTGTTTTTAAAAAAAAAAATGCTAGAAAAATTGGAAAATTAATGCTTTAAGCAACATGCTGGAAAAACTGGAGTTTTTTTTTCAAAAATTGCTGTTTTGTAGCTTAATTTGTGTTTTAGTTATTGATTTTTAAGGTTATTTTAAATCTTACAATATTAAGGTTAAATCTTACTTACAATTTTTTTCCTTTTAAAGTTTTATTTTTTTAATTTAATTAGTATTGTTATTTTAGTTTAAATATGGAATTAATTAAAAAAGTGAAGCATCAAAGATTTAAAGATTCAGCAATAATAACTTTAAAGATTCGATTTAAAGAAAGATCTTGAAAATGATTCTAAAACAAGATGCGTGGTTTGCCACAGGTTAATTGAACTCTCTGCCCTGGCAGATCACGCAAAAGGAACAAAAACACAATATAGAATTTAGAAAAGTGAAAAGATTCTTTGCAAAACCAAAAGAAAAAAGTTCTTTACCATCTGTCTTTTCTGACTCTAGTAAGTCAATTACAGAAAAACAAAAGGCATTGGACTTGGTTGTCAAAAAACTAGATATTACTGAGGCTGAAATTATTTGGCAGCTTAAAATGTGGATAGTGGATTTTCTCTATGTTCAAATGATGACTTAAGTCATGTTTTTACAGCTATGTTTCCGAAAAGTGCCTTAGCTTCATAATTTCAGATAGGTTGAAGCAAAACTTCATATGAGTTAAATCATGGTTTAGCTTCTTATTTTAAAATCAGTTTTGTTAGAAACTTTAAAACTGTCAGACATCAATGTCTACTTGTTGATTGAAAGTTTAAACAAGGTTACTAAAACTTTTGGAATGGATACTTATATAAGATTCTGGGATGTTAATAGAAATTGTTTAAATGTCTTTTATTTTGGATCAAGTTTCTTAGGTCATACAACACATCGAGACTTATTGACTCATTTCAAGGATATTGTTAAAATATTTGTTTATTTCAGTATAACGTATTGTTATTATAATCTTGTTGTTTCTCCTTTAAAGTTTTCTGATTTTTTGATTTATTGAGAAATTTTGCAATTGATTAATCTTAACTAAGATAAAAAATGATTTAAATGGATTGTACCTTCTATAAGAGTTTTTTTTATATAATAACTAGAAACATGGTAAGCCTTAAAGTAGTTTGTTATTTTAAATTGAGTTTTATTACGTTTAATTTGTTTTAGTAATTCTGAAATTTATTAAATTAAAAAAAATTGTGTTTTGGAAGTCTTTGCTTTTGTTGTCTTTTTTTCTGAATATATATATATATATATATATATATATATAATTTTCAATGGTGTTGAGTATAGTATTAATAGTGTTAAATTTATTACAGTTTTTTTGGATTAAGTTGTAGAACACAAATTTATGTAGTATTTTGTTTTAAATTACATACTTTTATATTTAAAAGTACAGTGGTTGTCTTTAAAACAGTTTTTGTATCACTTTAGAAATATCCTTAGTGCTGGAATTAAAGTGTTTTTTCAATTTTGGTGCTGGAAAAAGATATGGGTTTTAGGACCAAAATCCAAAATCAAATATCTAAATGAAATAATAAGTGCTGGAATTTTTTTAAATTTTGAGTAGACACCCTGATATTGCTGACCTCATTTTTCTTTATTCCGAGGGCTGGTTGCTAAGTTACCATCTGTTTCCTTCTTTATTATGGAATACTGTTGTCATGTTTGGGATGTTTTTGTGTCCTTTTTTTTTAAAGATGTTCAACTACATTTAAAAGTGTAGTTGAAGCCCTAACTGCCAAACTTGAGTCACTGTGTTATTGTCATAAAGTTATTTCACTTTCTATTTTCTACAAATATTACCATGGTTGCTGCTCAAGCGAGTATAATTTTTTTGTTCCATTAACCCAAACTCAATCTTGTGTGACTCATCTGAATCGAGTTGGATCTGTAACTGTCTTCTCTTGTACTTAAACATAAATGCTTTAAATTCTTGCCCATCTTCATGGTTTCCTGAGTCAAGATTTTTTAAAGTGTCAACTGCTTTTTTTCACTAGTTGTTTGCAGCCCTTATGTATTCATTAAAAAAAAACAGCAAAAACAACAACAACAAAAAAACCAGATACAAATGGATTATTATCTTTTTGACACAATTGTATTTTATTGCTCATTTGCTCATTTATTTTTTAAGTTTAAATCTTTTTTGAATATATTATTATGTATTAGTTTGATTATATCATTAATTTAAGAGTTTGATTATATTATACTTTATTTTTTATGTATTTTACATTTATTATATGTATATATATATATATATATATATATATATATATATATATATATATATATATATATATATATATATATATATATATATATATATATGTATAATTTAACATAAATCTTATTCTATGTAGTCTATATTTTAATTAAATAGTTATCTTTTAATCAATATATAAATAACTTAATAATATTATTAATAATATTATTGAGCATTAACGTTATCAAAATTGTTATAATAAGTCTTTATGTTTATTTCTAAACAAATTTAAAATTTATTTAGACTGTAGCTGGTAACAACAGCAATATTTTGTCAAATTTGGAGACTGTTTTTTTATTAGAATATCCAAAAGTAAGTTTTAATATGTTACTATATTATACTTTAACAGTTTAGAGAATGAAAAAAACTATAACTAAAGTTTTACCTAAAGTATAGCTTTTTTTTTCTTTCTAAACTGTAAAAAATATATACATTTACCCTTGCCTAATCTTTTCCATTCAGTATGATTTTCTCAACGGCATTTTATGCAGACTTAAATTATATATATATATATATATATATATATATATATATATATATATATATATATATATATATATATATATATATATATATATATATATACACATACACTCTGTCAAAAAATTTTACATCCACCTATACCTGTACATTTATACCTGTGCATTTTTCCAGGAAGGTGCTGGCACCAAAAGGCACATGCGGATTTTTTTCAAAAAGGCCCATATATGCGGGATTTTGCCAAATATGCTTGATTTGAAGGCCCGCATTTGTATATATATTTAAATATATATATATATATTTAAGTATATAAATATATATATATCTGTATATATATATATATATATATATATATATATATATATATATATATATATATATATATATATATATATATATATATATATATATATGTATATATAAATATGTGTATATATATATATATATATATATATATATATATATATATATTTATATACCAATAAAAAACTGTCCTTATCCAGTTAAATCAACATACTAAAGCTACTATAATTAGATTTCCTTAGAATTAAAAATGGCACCGCGCTGCAGCATGCATGTTTTATTGTAGTGCGTTAAGCACGTTTTATGTTTTCATTCCTAAAAATAAACAAATTTCACTGTGTTTTTATGGTAACCAAATAGGGTTTCTATTGTTTACTGTTGTTTAATAAACATTAATGTTAAAATTATATATATATATATATATATATATATATATATATATATATATATATATATATATATATATATATATATATATGTATACATACTTATATATATATATATTAATATTTATATATATATATATACATGTGTATATATATATATATATATATATATATATATATATATATATATATATATATATATATATATATATATATATATATATATATATATATATATATATATATATATATATATATATGTATATATTTATTATATATTTTTATTTTAGCATTATTACATATACAAGAATTATTGTATTTTATGTTATATAAACAAAGTTTTCGAAAGAAAACTGTTTATATAACATAAAATACAATTATATTATATTTCAGTAATAAACATAAAATACTATTATATTATATTTTAGTAATACGGCTAAATAACTTTACCATTATTTAGTCGTATTATTAAAATATATAATTATTTTAATGACTATTAGTTTAAAGATTGATAAATTATAAATATTTGTAAATCTTTGCTCACAAAAAAAAAAGTTTGCTGTATGGAACACCCTGAGCTGCAGAGAATTGATGAAAAATTATTAATAAAATGCAAGTGTTAGTACTAGAGGAAGTGTTTATTAGCGTTAAACATAGAACGGTACAACTTTTTTTTTACGTGCTCCAAGAAGGTTTTATGGTCTTATCAACTTGAAGTTAAAATTGACTGTATACAATTTTTAAGATTTTATATTCTATGTAAAATCTTAAAAAAAGATGCAATAGTTACAACATACACTGACTTACAACTATGTTCTTTGAAAAAAAAAGTGGTTGCTAAAGTTTATAATGTTAAATATTAGTTTCAATGTATTTGCGGTCCCTGAAATAATTGAATCCGAAATACTTTCAAATAGAAATAAAATGCTTTATTTATTTATTTTTATATATAGAAAAAATATTTAACTACTTTTTAAATGTCTGTAGAACATACAATAAGAGCAATTTTATAAAAACTCACACAAATTATTTACATTTAAAAACGTTACGACTTTTGTTTATGAAAAAACAATTAATCATTCCAATTTAACAAAAATTTTATTAATATGAATATTTTTCCATAATTTAAAATTGAACACACGTTTCTCATAATAATTGTTGGCTATTTTAAATAATTTTATCTATATAACGACTGATATAATAAGTGATTTAAGTGACAATGATCATTTATTTTTTTCAATATCAACTTTACAAAAGTTACAAGCAGTTGCATTTTATTATGCAAATTACTGATATACATGCGCTTGAAGTCCAACAGTTCGAATCAGAGATTTGTTAAAGAATTTAACTTGTGGAATAAAAAATAAAGCAAATAAATATCAATTGTGAATCATTTTCAAAATGCTGTAAAGGGTATAAAGCTTCAAAAAAATGGCCCTTCTAGGATAAATAGCGATAGGCCCAACCGGGATTCCTGCATAGCCTCTGGGGCCAGCACGCCACTGCATTTTTCATCCACCTATACCTGTATATCCATCCACCTGTACATTTTTTAGACAAGATAACATTTTATTCAGTAAAGATATAAGCATAATTTCAACTAAATTATATCAGTTAACTATTCAAGAAGTATTGTAAGAAAAGATTTTACAAAATAACGAATAGAAAATTAAATACAGCATTTAAAAATTAACAATGCCTGTTTTTGCACCATAAAAGTTTTCATCCACCCTGCACTCCAACCTCAATTTGTTATTAAATCGGTATTAAAAAAATATTTTTAAAATATAAATTAGATTTAGTAAAATTTTCATATTATTTTTTCTTTATATAAGTTTTTTATATTTTTTATTTTTGTTAGATTAATTATTAAAAATAAGAGTTACTGGGAGAATTAGATTGCTTATAGCAGGCTTGGACAGGAATGGCGTGCGATCGAGCGCTATTGCTGACCACGCAAATGATTTTTTTTTTGACAACTTGACCACGATTGTTTATATTTTTTGATGATTTAAAAATTTCAGAAATGCTCTGAATGTCAAAATACTGAGCTAAACTTAAACTAGAAAAAAAGTTAGAAAAAAAAAAAAAAAAAACTAACAAAAAAAAAATTCCTAATGAATAAAAAAATGAAAAACAAATTCATAAAGAAAAAGAAATTATATAAGCACTACATAAAAACTTAAACTTGAAGCTAACTTTTTGTTACGTTTTTGATTACGTATGAAATAAACGTTATTAAAGTCATGTAAAGCGTTTTTAAATTAAGTAACAAATTACTAGTAATGATTGTTTAATAAATGAACAAATTTTATTAAATTTATTAAAAAGTGTTGTATTAATATTTTTAAATTGTATAAACATTTATTTTTTCAAAAAAGTTAAAAAAAAAATTGTTTAAAAAAATAATGTAGCCTTTTTAAATAGTAATTTTTAGTAATTTTATGCTCTAATTAGTAAGTCTAATTAAAAAAAGGTTTTTATAAAAATATTTGTAAAAAATAGAAAAAATAAAAGTAAATAAATGTGCCTGTGATTTTAATAAGATAAACTGCCAAAAGCATTTTAATTTAATTTTAATTTGAGCATTACAACTTTATTAATAAGTGCTTTGCATAATGAGTTTAGAAATTATTATAAAAGATTTAAACTCATTCATTCCTAGCAAAATTGAAAGAAAAAAAATTAAAATTATAAAAAAATAAAATGTTTATTTAAAACATTTTAAAAAATCATGTTTAATTATAAAAATTAATAGTATGAACATTACAAAATGCTTTAAAACTTTTTCACTAATCAACAAAATACATGCTTATATAAGTAAATTAACTTATTTTATATTCTTGCGTAATTCACATAAAATGTGTAAAAGCTTTTGAACTTATTCACAAATTAAAGTAACTTAAAAAAATTATTTCTAAAAATAATGGTTTAAAAATGTTTTAGGAAGACATGGAAAAATAGTTTCAAACTTTTAAATTTATCATTAAAAAAGCATGTCTACATAAAAAAAACTTATATATAACGTTTTTTTATTAATTTACACATGCGTTTATGTAAACAATAACTAATTAATTTTATGGTTTATATAAAGACTTAGCCTAAAATGAAAACTTTAGAAAAGATCAACGATTAAAAGATATTTATAACGTAACACTTTTTTTTATTGCATTCAAATTTTAAAACATCAAAATAGCCGTGGTGAAGTTGTAAAGAAAAAAATATTAGCGTGGTCAATTAAAGAGTGTGATCACACGCTATTCCTGTCCAAGCCTGTTATAGTTAGACTAGGAAGGAGGGAAAATCACAGCAAAGTATAGAAGAAATAATAAAGAAATCACGTGCAACAATGCAGTCTATTATTAAGAAATACCAAACCACCAAAAAACCTCCTGATAAGCCATGTACAGGACGTCCAAATAAAATTCAAGTATTGCATCGACGAGCTATTTTGAGAACAGTCATCCAGAATCTTAAAATAAGTGCTCTAAAACTCGCTGGAATGCTGCAAAATGATTACAATGATCCATTAAAAATGGATCCTTAAACTGTTTGAATAACATTAAGAAGAGCTGGATACAATGGTAGAGTACCATTGAAAAAGCCCTACACCAGCAAAGTCAACAAAGCCCAATTGACTACACTTTGCAAAGTGTTTTCATCAGATGGAATATTTAGAGTTTGGAGAAAACCAAATGAAGCATTTAAAAAACAAAATTTGTGTTCAACAGTGAAGCATGGTGGAGGAAGTGTTTTTGTGTCGGGGTGAATAAGTGCTTCAGGTGTAGGAAACTTGGTTTTTATTGATGAAATTATGGATTAAAATGTTTATTTAAACCAGGCTTTCACAGGAAGACGTGCCATTTCATGTCTTTATATGACCACGCAAAAAAATGTTTTAACGATTTGACCATTGCATATTTTTAAAATTTAAAAACGCGCTACAAAAACTTACCTAAACTTATCTGAAAAAAAATTTAAAAAAATAATAAATATTAACGAAAAAGAAAATAAAAAAAAATATTTAGTTAAACCAAAAACACAAAAAAATATATATATATATATATTTATTACACAACTAAAACAAAACTCATCAAACTAAAATGTTTGGTCTATTTAATTTACGCATTAAAAAACCTTTTC